TCATAAGTTGGCTTTTTGCTAAAATATTAAAAGTTACTAAAATGTTGAAAAATGTTATGTTTACTTATTTATAGTGTATTTTTTAAGTCTGCTTAAAACTATTTATTCGGTTTGTTTCGTTCTCTTTTTGTTTATCGTGTCCAACTTTGCTTATACAATTTAAGGCGTTTGAGTTAACTGCGATATAGCCGTTCTGGTTTTTATGCCATTAATCTTTAAATTCAGTCTAACCATTTCATTTTGTTTAAAATATTCTGTTGTAAGTTTTCTATGCATTTAAATAAAATAAAAATCGGATTTTTTTTTGTTAAATGTTAGCAAAATTATTTTACAAATATTTTTTCTATTCTTCTTAATTATTTTTTCCATTCTTCTTAATTATTTTTTCCTTCTTAAATTATTTTTAACTTAGCTGATTTTAAATGGATGATCAAGGTAAATTTTCTTTGTCTGAAATATGGGAAGGGTTTGAAGGGGCATATCTTCGGCCACCAACACCGACCGGTTTTATCTCTTAAACTTGCTTAGCATAGCAGTTTATGGCTTTAGAGTTCGTGGGTTTAATCCCCGCCGGCCGAAGACCCGTGTAGTGAATGGTGACTGATGCAAGTTAAATCGGTCGTGTCGCAAAGTCCTCCATGTTCCCATAACAAATCATACCCGTGGGGGTACTGATTCAGGAGTTTTCTTGTCTTCTGGATTGGTTCAAAATTACAAGGCTACGGAGTTGAACATTAGTGGTCGTAAACCCAAAACTGCGTCGGCTGTTCAACGACGGATATAAAATAAAATATATTCAATCTTGTATATAATTTAACAAGGAAATAAAATAAAATGTGCAGGTTTGATTAGCTTTTTGAAGTTTACTCTCTTTTGAAATTTATGGTTATTTATTCGAATCATTATTTTAACACTATTTCTAGTATCTTCTACTTACTTGGATGTAATTAGGAGTTTAAAATTTATGTCTCTGTTTTGCGTGATTCAGTATAAAAATAAACAAACATTGTCTTAACAGATGTAATTATTATTTTTATGTAATTAATTTCTTAATTAAGATAATTGTTAGAGTTTGATAAAAAAAATAGTTTTTCTTGTTTTTTTGTATGTTTTGTGTGAGATACATAATACAAATTATCGTTGCAAAATTTTTCTCTTTTTCAAGAAATGTAATAGAAGAAAATAGCGTTAGTAAATAAAAACATAAGAACAAAACTAATTTCTACTCTCATAATTAGAAAAAAAAATCTATGTTTAAAAATGATTTTTTATTATTAAAAAAATAAAAAAAGATAAATAAATAGAAAAGAAAGAAAACTGTTATTACAACTCCCTTTTCTCCCTCATTGAAATTCATCATAGCCTAAAAATAAAATGTCTGCCCTTTTTTGTTGTATGTTGCATAATAATGTTGCCTGAAGTCATAGTCGCACCGGATGTTCGCGCTTTTTTTTTCCCCGCTCAGTACTATTTTCACTTATTTAGTTCTAGTTTCTTCCGGTTTTCTTTTGTCATTGCACTGCACCTGTCCAAAATGAGTAATTTTTTTGATAAGTTGTCCTTGTTCCTCATAGTAAAAGTTAGCCCCGCTCTCAGTATTTTTTATCCTGCAGATTACGCGTGATAAATTTATAATGAATAATAATGTATAATTGTTTAATAAAGTAAGAGATTTTATGAAATTCAATTTTATTTCATCGTAAGAGGATTTACTTTATTACAATGTCAGAAAAAAATCTAGATAGCTATTTTGTGATTTTAAAAATATCTTTTGCTCTACAGAAAAATATATTGCTTTTTTTTGTAATTTTTTTTATTTAAATATTTTTTTCAATAGTACGTACAATAGTTTTCAATAGTTTTCGTTCAAAAAGTACGTACACAAAAATGGAGAAATTTTAACCCCCTCCCCCCATTCGTAAATTACCGCACATAAGGTCTTACTCCCCCCCCCCCTTAGAGTACGTACATTTTATTAGTCTACCCCCCTTTTTCACAAAAATTAAAATAATTATGTTTTAAATAAAATTAAATATTTATTTAAGGAGTGTGTAGGAAAAAGTCAAATTTAAATTTGGTGTATGTTTATAATGTACGTACTTTGTATAATACCTCTCCCCCTCCCCATTGTACAAAACTGTGCAAAATAGCAAATCCCCTCTCCCCCCTTCGGGATGTACATACTTTTTGAACGGCCCCATACAATAATCCAGCTAGCAATAAGCCTTTTAATTGAAACCTTTTTGTTAACATTATTAGTATTAATATAAAATTTCTTAAAATGGTAGTTTTTGTTAGTTCAATGAAAATCAATGATTAATGTCTTTGTAAATAACCGTTTTTTTTTACAAATGAGAATTGAGTATTGAATTCTGACCTGCAATATTTTTATTATCTTATATATTTTTTTATTTACTTTAAGTTTTCACACAATCATAAACTCCAGAAATTTGTGTTATAAATTATATAAATTTTAAAGTACCACTATAAGATTATATTACTTTATATTTATTACTTTATATTTATCACTTTCTACATAAGTTTTCATGATGTTGGATATTTCCTCATCGTGATCGGTGGCAGAGTAATCGCCAAATCTTGGGTAACTTAGGGCTACTGCACTCGAGAGAAAAAAATAAAAAATCACAGAAAAGGACCAACTCGAAAGGTATAACTCGTAACCACCTCCGAGCAATCATCTATATGTTTTATTTAAAAAATTGCAAGTTTAAAATCTATTTGGCACCATAGCGATTGTAGTTAGCGCGATAGATCACGATACGGAAATATCTCCCTTGTGTTTATTTTGTCAGTGCAATAATTTTCTACTCATACCTGACTCAAATTCTGCATTGGTTGCTATAATGCAGGTGAACTTCATGCTTGTTTTTTTTTTTCGAATTAGTTTTTGTTAAATTGCAACATAAATTTCTTTATATTTTACAAAATATGTCTGCACAACTCTTTTTTTTTTAATACGGACCGCAAAACTAAGAACTGGGAAGTAAAGGTTGCATGTGCGTAATGCTGAATACACTCTATAACAAAATAAATCGACGCACCAAGAAGGAGTTGTCCGATTGAAACGAAAATTTGTGGATAGGAAGACAATGTACAGTCAGCAAAAAAAAAAAGATATCACCCTGAATAACTTTTGTTATAATGATCGGATTTTCACGATCTAAGTGTCAATCTTAATGGTTCCCGGGGGTGACCTCAAATATGCTAATTAATTAGTGCTAACTATTAATTAAGTTACGAAATCAGACACAAAAACGTACTTTCTCTGAATAAACATGTATTTTTTTTTACATATTTGGATTTCTAACCTTCAAAATATAGGGGGTAGCCGCAATCTGGGA